TTATCTATTTGATATTTGTTATGCATGGTTTTCATGTGTGTGTGTGTGTGTGTGTGTGTGTGTGGTGGGCGACTATCCCATATGGATGATGATAATGATAATGGGCTGAATCAATTTAAAAATTTTTTTTCTCCTTCACGCCTTTGAATATTTGTTACTTGGTTCTCTTTCTTCTTCTTCATTTTGAATCGATCGATTGATCGAATGAAATGACAAATGAATGTGTTGATGTATTGAATTGATACATAGATCTAGCGGATGTATTTCGAATTGGATTTTTTCCCTGATTTGAAATGGCAAAAAAAAATCGAAAATGGAAAATTATTGTTAACACACACACACACAAACACATACTGGTGAATACAGAATATGAATGAATACTGCCTGTCATCATCATCACACACACGTCATCAGGTCGTGTGTCCAATTGGTGGATTTTTATGGATGATAACAATAATCATTTTCTGTTGTTTTGACATAGCCAAAAAAGTCATTACCAGAAAAATCAAAAAAAAAAAAATTTTTCGTTTCGTTTCATTTTTGGGTTTTGTTTGAGATGTGATTGTTGCCTGTCATCATCATCATCATCATCATCATTGAATCATTATTGTTGTTGTTGTTGTTGTTGTTGTTTTATTCGTTCAAATTCAATTTGTTTGATGAAACAAAACGAACAAAATAATTCAATATATATTGGCTATGGCACACGACCCTTATTTTATTTGTTTTTTTTTTTTTTTTTTGACTGACAAATTATTTCTTGTCATCATTCGATAACAACAAATCGAACGTTGTGTTTGTGGTTGTTCAATCATCATCATTTGATAATTGTTAATTGATTGTAAAACAACATCAACATCATACATAGAAAATCAATTGCCTTGTCAATCGATTGTTCATTCAATTTGATAAGAATCATGTAGAATTTGAATTTTTTTTTTTTTTTTGAAAATTGACCAATAAAAATCACAATTGATGATGTTTTTTTTGTCAGAAAAAAACTTTTCAATCATCAGACAATTCATCAAACACACACACACACACACTGTCTACATTGTCGAGGTGATAATTGTGGCCAATGAAAATGGCCAGACGAAAAGTAAAAAAAAAAAAAAAAAATTTCCATTGACCATTCATCTGATCATTCATTCAATCAGAAAAGAGTTATTACTATTATTAATAATGGTGGTGATGGTGGTGGTTGTGGTGGTGTTAAAAAAATTATTAGTTTTTTTTTAATAATAATTATAAATCGTCGTAAATCATAAATCGATAACAATAATAATGATGGTGTGTTTATTACCTAATTAAAATTCGACCATTCATTTATTCATTCATTCATTTGAAACAATCAATCAATTTATCTATTTATTTTCATTAAAATCACACACACACACACACACACACCATTACTACTTATACAATCGTATGGACCATATAATTATACTGGAACCGTGTGTGTGTGTGTGTTTTTTTTACTTTCTTGAAGAAGAACAACAACGAAAAAAAAATTCATAACATTTAAAAAGCGAAAAAAAAATTCATTTCCAATTCATAAGAAAATCTCAGGTGCCAAGCTATTTTTTTTTCGTTTTGTTTCGTTTGCCTAAATTCGTTTATTTACCTTAATACATCCGCTGTTTGTTTGTTTGTGTGTGTGTGTGTGTGTAGAAATAGTTCTGTTCAAACAATTCAACAACAGAAAATGAAATAAAATCATCGACAACAAACAAACAAACAAACAGCATCAATGGGGTAAAAGTCAATGATGATGGGGCGGAAATTAAAGAGAAGCCTAAATAATAACATGACATACACTCATACACACACACACACACACACTCAAAGCTTTTTCAATTGACCAAGAATGAAAGAATGAAACGAAAAAAACACACGATGATGATGATGATGATGGATAAAAAGGCTACAATTAATCAGCCAAATTAGGCGTGTCGAAGTTTGTTTTATTTATTTTTTTTATTTTACTTCTGAGCCCGAAAATTGTCGATGATGAAGATTTTCTTTGAAAGTCTTGAGTTTTTTTTTTCTTTCTTTATTTATTTATTTTATCTTTATCTTTTGTTGTTGTTGTTGTCGTTGTTTTCCATTCGTTTTGTTGTTGTTGTTGTTGTTGTGATGCCTTGTGATTCATGTTGTGTGTAAAGTAATAACCTCTATATTAAAAGTAGACAAAAAAAAAAACGTTTCAATTGCCATGGTTTTTTTTTTTTGGTAGTCTATAATCTTCGCCATAAGAGATTTGTGTGTGTGTGTGTATTGTTGTTGCTCGAGTTATTGTCATCATATTCGATTGTTTGGAGATGGAATAAAAAAACTTTTGCTGCTGCTGCTGCTGCTGAATACTCCTTCGTAATCACATCATTGATGATGATCTTATTTCATTTCAATAAAGATTTTCTTTCCACTATACACAATGGATCGAATTTCGAATTCAAGTTTCAAATTCCGGTGATAATAATTCCTGGATTGTCACGCAATTTTTTTTTTTATTTTTTTTGTTGCTGTTGCACATGGAATTTTTTTCCCCCTACAAATCATATGACTCATTGGAACAAAAAAAAAAAAATCATCGTTATCATTAGCAAGAGGAAATTAATTAACTGCAAAAAAAATGGTTAAATTGAAAAAATCGTGAATATTTGAATATTCCATTATAAAAGATGCTTTCAATATACAATTCTAGTTCATTTTTTTTTTCGTTTTGTTTTCATTGGTTGCTCATTTGCATATCGCGTATGCAACAAAAAAAAATGGTTTCCATTCCATTGGAATGGATGAATACGATCTGGTGATATGATATAATGGTGAATTGAACCGTATATATACGAACAATTGTTTGAGCCTGATGTTTTGGTGGTGGATAACGTCATAACCAGACGTTTTTTTTTTTGTTTGATGCTGTTTTTGTTGTTGTTGTTGTTATTGCTGCTGATGGTGATCCATCCTAACACCCGACCGATGAATGCAGAAAGCAGAAAATGGTGAAGAAAAAACGGACAAAATACGATGTATATTCGTCAAATGGTGCTGCTGTCGCTGCTGCTGCTATATATGGGAGAAAGAAAAAAAAAATTTTTCGCTTTCCATTGAAAATATTGATCCGAAAAAAAACCAACCTAGAACTATGTAAGAAGAATGAAGCAAAGAAATAATAAAAAAAACAAAACAAAACAAAACAAGTAGGCGGATACGGAACATGTCAATGGATTTTGATCATTTAAATCAAAACGAATCAATGCCCAGAGTGTAAAAGAATGGAGGTTTTCACACACACACACACACACACACAAATGCACATCGAAATACATTGATGTCTCGACAATTTCGAGTGTCCTAATTGAATCCTTTTTTTTACATTCTTTAATATATCATTCGTGAAAATATAATTTCCGAATGTCGATTTCGATGTCGATGATGATGATGATGATGATGACGAATCATATCACACGCAATCGATTTTGATCATCATCAACCAATTAGAATGAATGGTGGTGGTGTAATTTTTTTTCCTGATTCTATCACCCACTCGCTTTTCATCCCCACTCCCAAACAATAAGACAGAGAGAGAGAGAGAGAGAGAGAGGTCCACTCGAATTATTTTCATGGGCTACTAAAGTGCCATATATACTTTTAGCAATTCTGATGATGATCAAAATCAAGAATCAAACGAAAAAATTTTTTCTTTTTCATCATACGCATGCTCTATGAGAAGACGCCAAAAAAAAAAGTGAAATTCATTCTAATGAAATGATACACGCGCCCGCGCACGTGTAACACAAACAAACAAACAAAAAAATGGGGTTGTCCTCTGATGATGTCAGATGATGATGATGAATTGAAAGAAGAAAAAAAACTTTTTTTTCCTTTTTCAACTTCCACACACACACACACATCAATCTGTGTGCGTGAAAGTGAATATTATGGAGAATAATAATAATAAATAATACACAGACACAGAAGAATTGCAGAAGAACGAAAAAAAAAAAAAAACAATCCAAAAAATTTTTTCCATCAAAGTGAAAAAAGAGGCAGAAAAACTAGCGTGTAAATAAACTAAAAGTAGGCCGTAACCGATCAAATAAAGGCGGAACCACATTTTGAAAACCTTTGGTGTGTTCAACATGTTCATGTTCATGTTTGTGTGTGTGCAGAGCAATCTCACATTGCGTGCGTTTGTGTTTTGTGTGGGATTCAAGAAAAAAAAAATTCTCATTCATTGATTGTAACTTGATTGAGAGTGACCATCATCGCCATCACCATCATCATCATCATTGACGACCAACATATATATAAAAAAAACTACATAGAGTGAAATAACGACCCCGTATCTTTATTGTGTGTAAGTGTGCGAGTGTGTGCACGTTTATATTTCCATTTTTGTGTCCATTTGTCATTGTATTCGATATTTTATTATTTTTATTATTTTTTTTTTCTTTGAATGACAAGTCTTTTTGTCTTTATATTTGTGTTTTTTTTTGTCTATGGCTACTGTCATTGTTTTTTGTGTTTTTAATAAATTTTTGATTTGATTTTTTTTTTTTTGTTTGTTTTGTTTTGTTTTGATTGGACAAGATCTCATTTCAATATTTTTTGTTTGTTTTGTTTTGTTTTGTTTTGATCATCATCAGAAGAATCATCATCATCACATTTCAATTCATCAATGGGTTCCAGTTTTTTCTCGTTGTTTGTTTGTTTGTTTGTATTCAAATATGACATAAATTCATTCATGACATCCGCATATTGAAAATTGATTTTTTTTTTTGTTTGTTAAAATTGTTTTTCTGTGTGTGTGTGTGTGTGTGCGTATGTGTAGGCGTGCCATTGAATCATTTGAATACGAAAAAAAATCCAATCCGTTGGGCGTTTTATTCATTCATTCAATCATTAGTGTCAGTGTGATATTTTGTGTCAATCAAATAATTTGGGATCAACAACAACAATAACAACAACAATAAGAAAAAAAAGATATCAAAATCGACAACAACAACAACAACAACGACGACGACGACCTGTCGATCTGAAAATATAGCAAAAAAAAAAAAAAAATCCAGATCAAAATATGATGGCTAGTTCGATTGTACAGATGGTATGTTTGGTGTTTTTCACTGATTTATCTGAAATATTCAATTATATTATAAATATGATCCTGTCAATTATATATGATGATGATGATGATGAATCCAAATGTGTCTGCCCAAACTTGTGTATGATGTTCTAGATGTGTTAAAATTGAAAAAAAAAAAATAAGAAAAAATTTAATTCTAGGCTTTGATGATGACCGAAAAGAAAGATACTCGTGAATGAATGAATGAATGAAAATATGGATCAAGTTTTTTTTTTGTTATTTCGATGGGCGCCCATTTCATTTTTTTTTTTCACATCATCATCATCATCATGATGATGATGATGATCGAAACATTCATTCATTTGTTAATGATGCAGCAAAAAAAAAATTGGATCCACAGTGGTTCATTGCGGATGAAGATACATCATCATCATCATCATCATCATTATGATGTATGTATAAGGATGATGATCATCGATCAATGATGATGATGATGATTATCAAATGAATGAAAAATCTGTATAAATAAAAACTGTTAAATAGTAAGAAAAACAAAACAAAACAAAAAAAAAAATCGTGATCCAAAAACAACAATCTGTTTTACACTCAGGTATTGTGTGTGTGTGTGTGTGTGTGTGTGTGATGTGTATACTTGACACATTTATAAATACATTTTAATAACAACAACAACAACAACAACCATAACAAAGTCTTGTTAGCAAATTTAAAAAAAAAAGATTAACAGCGGCAACGGCGGCGTCGGCAGTGTTGTTGTTAATGCCTTAGCCTTGAAATGAGAAAAAAATTTTCAATACAACTTTTTTATAACATCATCATTATCAATGAAAAATATCATCATCATCATCATCATCATCAGAAGTAATTAAATGGCTAACTTGTTCGCTCATAATTCTCAAATTACTTGAAATTGATGCACAAAGAGAGTGAGTGAGAGAGAGAAAACAGCATAAACACGATTCATGAAGATGGTGGTGATGGTGATGCTCACGATTCATGTCGTGTTTATACCTACTGAATGTATGTATGAATGAATGATAATGGTTTTTAATTTGTATGAATTATTATGAATCATAAAGATGGATTTCATTAATAAAATTATTATGATCATCATCATCATCATCATCGTCATTAAATCATGATGAATAAATGTGAAATTTTGGGATTTTTTTTTCTATGTGAAAATGTTTTATTTCATTGGACCTTGTTGTTGTTGTTGTTGTTGTTGATTTTGGTTTTTTTTTGTTGTTTTTTCATTCTTGAATTCGATGAAAAAACAACAACAACAACAAAAATTGAAATTCGATATTCAACTACGAATCAATCACAATGATGTATTGATGATGATGATGATTATGATTGATTATCTTTGATTGATTCTGGTATATTGGAAGAAGAAGAAAAACGAAATTCCAATGTTTCAAATATCAACAACAACTGATGAATTCCAAAACAACAACAGAATTCTTGTGTTTCAAATTTCCAAATTAAAAGTTTTATTTTTTCCGTAATAATTTCTCTATATCGATATATATTGATCATCATCATCTATTAGACATGTAGTCGATGTAAGTTGTGTGTGTGTGTGTGTGTGTGATTGGCGCTGTAATTTTATTGTCAAAAATAACAACAACAACAACAACCGAAGAAGAAGAACTACAAAGTATCATTTATAATGATGATGATGATGATGAACGCCAAAAATAAAAAAAAAATTCGATTCTGAACTAAATGCATGCATGCATTGAACACTTGAACATTTTTGTTTCGATTTCACACACATACTGAACACTGGACAGTAACAACAACAACAACAACCAGGACTCTTAATTGGCCCTGAAGTGAAAAAAAAACGAAAGAATCAATTAATTAAAAAGACCAACAAGCCTAACAATCAAGGCAACAACAACAACAACAACAACAAAAATTTATTTGACAGGTCGAAATAGAAAAAAAAAACAAAACAACAAAGCGAAAAAAAAATATATAACAGGTACGACTAGAGCAAAAAAAAAACAAGAGGAGAAGAAGAAGAAAAAAATGAATCGAATCGATAAATCTACACATCAGTATATGCATAATGTATATAACTAACTGTTACATTCAGTTTTGAATGGTTGAATTTTTCAAAAATTTTTTTTTTTGTTTTGTTTTTTGTTTTAATTATACGTTTTGTTTGTTTCAATTTTTTTTAAAAATTGAAAAATGATGAACGCATGCATGATGCATGATGATGATGATGATGATGACATGCAATATTATCGAGAATCGAATCGAATCGAATCGAATCAGAGAAAAAAAAATGAACGATTCACACTGAACACTGAACACACACACACTGATATTGACAGGACAATTGATCTGTTCTCTCTGTGTGTGTGTATGTGATATCATTTCAATAATAATAATAAATATTCGACCAACGAATAATTTTTGATTTGATGTTTGTTTCGAGATCAACATCAGATCATCGATATTGATGTTTTTTTTTTGTTTTGTTTGATGCGAAAATTGATTTTCATGATAATTTTAGATGGTTTGTTTTTTTGGTTTTGCTTTGCTTTGATTAGAAAATTACATCATTGGTCATCATATAATAATCATGAACATATAATCCATGTATATACATATTCTTTGTTCATTTGTTCATTTTGTAAATTCTGGTTGACTTTTTGTAGTAGTCGTCATCATCATCATCATCATCATCATCAGAATCAGAATCCAGAAAATGTCACTGACAGCAATCGTGGTTTTGTGAATAATAAAAAAAAACAATGAACAAAAACGGGTATAATGCAAACTGTGAATTATTCTGAATTCTCTCCATGTGTGTGTGTGTGTGTGTGTGTGTGTGGCTGAAATGGATGGATGGCAAGCAGCAAAAATTTTTTTTTCTCCTAGTGTCGATGTGATTGATTACAACACACAAAAAGCGGATAATTTTCATTTTCATTGTATTATTAATATATATGTTTTTAAACGGCTTGTCATTTGCCGTATATGATTAGAATTTTGGAAAATTTTTCATTGTTCATATAAAATTCTATTCTGCAAAACAAAACAAAAAATTCTAAAATGAAATGTGAGATTTCACTATTATCATTATCATTGTTGTTGGTGATCCAGAAAATTATCGTTTAAAATTTTTTGTTTTGTTTTGTTCTACATTGATCCCAATCTGATATCTCCGTGTGCGTGTGTGTGTGTGTGTGTGTGAATGATCTTTGATCATTAGTTTTCGTATGTCGATTATTTGTTGTTGTTGTTGTTCGATGTGTTGTATATCAAAATGGTGTATTTGAATTAATTAATGTAATCCAAGCCATGGTATGGCCATAAGGCAGATGGTCCGAACGATACACGAACCAAATACACACACACACACACACATGCATAGATTCCTCCTTCCAATAACACCTTGTTCGTGATCGAGAATTTTTTTTTTTTTTCATTTTTGTTGTTGTTAGTTATCGATAACGAAAAAAAAGCCGTAAAGCTCAAATTTCTTGTTGCTGCTGCTGCTATTTTTGACTTTTGATTTTTTCTCTCTCTCTTTCGTTAATCTTTCGTTTCGTTTTTTTGTTTTGTTTTCCTGTTGTTGTTTTTGAGCTAATTTTTTTTTTTTTTTTTGGTTCTTTGATCATAAATCAAACAAAATTTCTTTTCATTTTTTTTCTTTCTTTCTTTCATTAAATGTGTGTGGTGGACGACGACGACGACGATGACGATGATGATCATCTGGACGGATTCTTGTAATAAGAAAAGTTTAAACTCACTCGTACACACACACAAAATAACGACTTTTTTTGTAGAGAAAATTTTTTTAAAAAAGACGTGCTTCTTTTCATAGGTAAAGATCTGTAGATGATGATCCTAATGCATTATGCATTAGGATAAACCAATTTTTGAAGGGGGTATCCGTATGTGTGTGTGTGTGTGTGTGGCTTAAATTAATAAATTTTTTTGGATATCGATTTTGTTTGAATGATGTTCAAATGATCAAAAATCGTGTGGCCATCATATTCAACAATAATAATGATCATCATCATCATCATCAATTCCAAATTGGTGAGATAATTACTGTACACATGCGTAATGAATGATGATTTGGAATATCAAAGATAATATAAAAAAAGGTCAAATATATGACTGCCAAATGATGATGATGATGATGATGATGATAATGGTTGAAGAATTTTTTTTTGTTTTTTTCTCGAAAAAATTTTTCTTTCAAACAAAAAACAACAACAACAACAAGAGATAATTACTGTCAGAAGCGATTCGATAATTACTTTCGATACTACTTTTTTCGTCCATCGATTCGATTCCAATGATTTATTATACTCGACCATTCTTTTTATTTTTGCTATGCATGTGTGTGTGTGTGTGTGTGACGTTTTTTTTGTTTGGTGATTCTTTTGCCATTTCAAAAAAAATTATTTAGCAAATATGTAATATTCACATATATAATCGATATAAAAAAAATGAGAAAAATCAATAAATGAATCGATTCTTATGTAAATCGATTCATTTGTTGTTGTTGTTGTTTTGGTGGTGGTGGTGGTCATGGTGTCATTGTTCTTTGCGAAATATTTCGAAAAAAAAAACGGTTCAAGAACAAAAAATTTTTTTTTCTGCTGTTTTGTTTTTTTTTTTTTTTTGTTTCAATTTTGACATTTTCAAATTCGTTATATTCACACAATTCTTCACACAATACTGTTGTTTCGTTTTTTTTCATTTTTGTAATTTAGTTTCAATTGTTGTTGTTGTTGTCGATTCGAGCTTATCGAAAGCTCGTAAATATTGTCACAACCTCTCTCTGTGTGTGTGTTTTTGGTTGGCCACCAATGTGATAATTAAGCCACACACACACACACACACACAAAAAACAATAGAAACATTCCTAGTACTGGATAAACCGAACGAAGAGAGTGAAATTTATTATTTTTATTTTTTTTTTCGCTGTCCAAATAATGTTTCCAAATCATCAAAAATGAAAAAAAAACAGTCATGCATCATCGATTGTGTCGATTGACCGACCATTGCCATTGAAAATTGGTGGAAATCAAATTCTACCTTCCTGAGAATCTTTATTCTCTATCTCTCTGTAAAAAATTCCTGTTTATATCAGCAACATATATTTGTCATACACACAAAAACACATAGAATGAGATTACTATTAACCATCATTATTGATGATGATGATGCATTACTGTGTGTTGTGTGTATTGTGTTAACCCGATTGATGACCACGGTATCATCGATCCCTATTGATTGAAATTCATTTTTTTTTTTTTGGTTTCGTTTTGTTGTTGTTGTTGTTGTTATTTTGTTTGATTTTCATTATTATTTTTTAATTTGAATATTCATTCAGTGTGTGATCGATTGCAGCCAAAAAAAAAAAAAATCATGGTTAACATAGACAACAACCTACCGGCTGGTTACTCCACCCGAAAATCAACAACAACGATGATGATGATGATGATCTGTGTGTATAAAAGCGAGACAAACAAGATGAAGAAAAAAAAACTTGATCTGATTTGAGGTGTGGCCCTCATCTGATCATCATCATCATCATCATTTTGATTCTGATTAAATCAATAATAATTTTCTAGTTTTTGATCAATAATATATACCCTACTTGAGAGAGTGAGTGAGTGAGTTTTTTTTTTTTTTTGATATTGATGCAGGCATTTTTTTTGTAAATCATTTACGTTATGATGATGATGATGATGATGGCAATGAACGAATTTTTTTTTTGCCATTTTGATTCGATAATTAGATATAATGACATCTATGAATTGAATTGAATCATTGATGATGATGATGATGATGATGATGACGAAACGCAACAGGATCGGTTTTATATCCAATAGAGATGATGATGATGATGATGATAATAATCACGAAAATTCATCAATCAATTCGAATGAATATCATGTTTACAACAAGACCATCACACACATACACACACAAACACATTGATAACATGGCAGATGGATTCATGAATGAACCTGGCCGATCAATGATCGAGGTTTGAAATCCAGGTATCAGATGACAGTATCGAAACTTTTTTTTCGCTGAGCTGATCCAATTGGATTGCTGAATTATTTACTCCTGATTCACTTTTGACACGTTTGGTCATTATTAATTTTTTGTTTTTTATTTTATCTAGGAACCAGCTACAGCACGTTTAGCTGGTGGTGGCGGTGTTGTTGGTGGTGCTGGTGGTGGTACAACAAATCCATTAGCAATGTTAACAGCACAATGCAATAAATTAGCATCGAAAACACCACCACCATTGGCCGATGCAGCCGTTGGTAAAAGTTTTCATCCATGGAAAAAAGCTACATCATCATCATCATCATCGAATTCATCATCAACGACAAACACATTGACAAATACAATCGGAAATAATAATAACAATAATAATACATCAATTTCACCACCAATTAATCATCATACACCATCACCAAATTCTGCAGCACCACCAAATGCTGGTTTACCTCAACAACGAGCCTCATCATCATCGAATGCCGGTTCACCACCGACATCGATTGGTCAAACAATGTATAATACAAATAATAATAATAATCGATCACCATTAAATTCAACGCCCAATTCTAATAATAGTAATAATTCAGCTATCGGTTATAGTACTGCTGATAGTATATTTAGTGTTTATACACCGGCACCACCACCACCACCACCTCATTCTTCTGTTACTACTTCCTGTATGTTAGATGGTAGTGGTAATGTAGGTACAACAGGACAATCATCGAGCTTTTTTAGTAAAATGCATTCACATCATCATCCGGGTGATCATCATCATACACACACCCCACATCATACAAATCATACAGCCGCTAGTAATCATTTGAGCACCAGTCATATGTATTCACGAATGGCTACAAATCCATATGCTGTTGATAGTTGGCCATTTGGAATGAATACTTCTGGTCATCATCATGGTGCTTGTATCAAAAATGATCCAGTCACACAATCGTCATTGAATCATCATGCAGCCGCCGCCCATCATCATCATCATCATTCATCAAGTTGGTGGGAAATGCCCACAGCTACCGGTAGTAGTTGGCTTGATATGGCACCTACATCGGCTACAGCCACTACTGGTCTTCATACTGGGCTACAAGCTAATGCATATGGTTCACCTGCTACTGATTATGGTCTTGGATCATCATTAGCCGCTGCTGCTGCAGTTGCAGCATCAGCACAATCGGCTGCCGCTGTGGCAACAGCCCATCCATTACTTTCTGCATCTGGTCAACATTTGTTGCAAGATACATATAAATCAGTGTTGCCAACCAGTCACCAGAATCCGACGGCAACATCACCGTTTGGTTTATCTGCAACCACACAATCAACGACTGCAGCGATCACTGCCTCGATTCCACCGGCTGCTTCATCGGCCAATCAATCATCATCGACAACAACAACAACGACAACATCAACTCGATCACAACGTCGTTATACTGGGCGTGCTACCTGTGATTGTCCCAATTGTCAGGAAGCTGAACGTTTAGGACCAGCTGGTGCTCATTTACGTAAAAAGAACATCCATAGTTGTCATATACCAGGCTGTGGTAAAGTTTATGGAAAAACATCTCATCTAAAAGCACATCTAAGATGGCATACAGGTGAAAGGCCATTTGTTTGTAATTGGCTTTTCTGTGGAAAACGTTTTACACGTTCCGATGAATTACAACGTCATTTACGAACACATACTGGTGAAAAACGATTTGCATGTCCAGTTTGTAATAAACGTTTTATGCGTTCTGATCATCTTAGTAAACATGTTAAAACACATAATGGTAATGATGGAGGTGGTGGTAATGTTATTGGTAATGTTAAAAAAGAAAATGGAAATTGTAGCGATAATGAAAATAATAATCAACAAACAGCGCCCAATCATCATAATCATAATAATAATAATCATAATAATCATAATCATAATCATCTTCATCATCATCAGATGACAACATCACCCGGTATTTTACCATCAGAATTATCAATCAAATGGTGATCAAATATGTGTATTCACAATAGTCATTTGATTATTTATATGGATTTATTGACCATTCGAATTTTTGCAACAAAACAAAACTAAACGAAACGAAAAAACTTTGGCTTTCAATCAAGAATTGTAAACATCTAATCCAAGCTACATCAACATTCATTCATTGTTTTGTTCATTGTTTTTTTCACACCCACACCCACACACACACACACCCACAATAGTTCCATTTCCACCCACAACACTTGAAGAATCAACAATGTATCATAAAAAAAATAGTTGAAATAGGAATAGGTTTTTTTCTTTGGACAAAAAAAAAAAAAAACAAAACTAAACGAACAACAATCGATGACATTTCATCATCATTATTATTATGTATTTGAATTTGTGAATTAGTGAATATTCTCATTGAATATTGAACATTTTCAATAATGGTTTTTTTTCTTGTTTATTGTAAATAGCATTTGTTCATTAATCAATGTATATCGATTGATTGATTGATTGATTCATTTTTTTTATTGCTACTTATCATCATCAATTTTTTTTCTCTCTCTCACTATTTCTTGATTCATTCCAAAATTAATTGATTTAAGAATGTAACCAGCACCACAACCACCACCACCACCATCCCCTTACACAATCATGGAAACTTTTTTTTGATTCAATTCAATCATTTTTTTTTTGCTTGTAATTTGAATTTAAAGAAAAAAAATGAATTTTAAATTAATTATTAAAATAATATAATAAAAATTTATTTAAACAAATCAATAATTTTCATGGTGAATGTACTATTATTATCAGGTGTGGACAAGAACATCGATGAAGAAAAAAAAATCGATCAATCATATAATATCTACAGGTGATGACACACAAAGGGCAAATTTTCTGTGTGTGTGTGTTTACGTTTCAAAGACAGAATTCGAATAATGTCATCATCAATCATCATCGAAATCATCGATACAATCGATTCGTGTTGTTGATATATATTTTGATTGTTTGTTTATTTATTTTTCTTTTAAAAAAAAAATAAATATGTCACACACAACCAACACGAACATTTGATTTATGTAACGTTTTTATTCCATAAATGAAATGAAATTATAATGGCCCGTATTTTTCATAATCATCATCAATTATGGTGGTGGTGGTTTGAATAATTTTAATTTTAAAAATTTAAATTTAAAAGAAAACAAAAATTTAATTACACATCATCATTGTGTGTGTGTGTATGTATGTGGTGATTATTGTTTTAAATCGACCGATTCATTCGATATTTTTTTTTGTTTCGCCAATGATGACATGTTTGTTTTGTTTCAAAATCGGCATCCCGTAAATCTTCATTAATCAAAAAAAAAAAAAATGAATTTTTTTTTCTTCTTTTTTCATTTGATTTGATCAATTAAAATCAATTAATTAATAAGCATATCTTTAATCGTTCGACCGATAAAAACAATAAAAACAACGACGACGACAACAATTTGATATGCATGAAATACCGAATGTACTCGAAAAAAAAGGTAAATATTTCGACACTAGTAGCGACCTCTATCGTCAAATCGTGGAACTTTGATCCAATTCGAATTGTTATTAGCCAATTCAAAACAAACAACAATTAACAATCTTTGTTGTTGTTGTTGTTGTTTTTCATTGATTTCAATTGATTTGACCAAATATGATCATATACAACGAATGACCATGTAAATGTCAATGTGTGATTATCATCATCATCATCATCATTATCATGATTTGGAGACATTAAACATCATGTCTGGCCATCATTAAACATCATCAACGTCGTCATTTTTCTCCACCCACCCTCTCTGTTGAACAGAAAAGAAATTCACCAGCACACAAATTCAATCCATATATAAATATTGGCGTCATCTAGTCCAAGATAAAAATTCAGGTATGTAATAAAGATGTGTACAACGATATTTTAGACTAAAAGATTTTTTCTGAAAAGAAACAATTACGAACTTTTTTTTTTTTTGATGGCGATTCGACTGATTGGCGCTCTCATATAATATACTAATACTCGACGTCGGTCGTATATGCAAATTTCTTTTTTTTTATGAATAAATATACCATGAAGTCATATTAGTTAACGAGCAACGATTAACAAATATGATGATGATGATGATCAAACCAACTGCTGGCTGTTGCTGTCACAATTATCGAAATTATTATCTATATCACATATATCGTCATCGAGAATGCAGCTGACTGAATTAAATATTTACTGACTGGCTGACTCATTACTGTTGTCGATCTTTCCCGTCCATTCATCCATCCATCCATCCATCCGTCATTTGGTTCCAGTGATATTTTTTTTGTTTTGTTTTGTTTTAGTTCCAAATTTTTTTTCTTTCAATCATTTTTTGTTCCACAACCAATTTGGAATCAATGATGATGATGATGATGATGAGCTAGCTAGCCAGCCAACCAGCCAGTCAGTCAGTCAGTCAGTCATTTCAGTCAGCCATTTACATTTTGGTCTATGTCCACTCTCTTGCTTGATCTGTCGATGTGACTGACATAATCATAGGTTATAGAACCACATATATAGAATATATAGTGCTAAAATATGTTGACCACAAGTCAATTCTCAGCTGGTCGAAAAATAATTTTTTTTTTTGGTTGTCATTATCTCTCTATTCTTCCCCCACACACACATTCACAATCTATTCGATCTTATACATGGACATTTGATAGATTCTATTTCTTTATATAATTCATTCATTCAGGCTGGTCAATCTCATTGTCATCATCATCATCATCATCATCATGTGGACACACAGTGTGTCATTATCGACAAAACCTATCCATGGATGATGATGATGATGAGGAATTGGCGAAAATTGGTCCACACACACATACACACAGAGATCGGCAATGGTCTTCAATTACCTGCCTTTTTTTTCTTCTTTTTTTTCATCGTCAACATTGATATATAGTGAAACTACCCCTATGTGGTTTTTAGTTTCTTTCATAGTGATGATGATGATGATGGTATGATGAGCCCCCATCATCATCATCATCATCATGAACATTGTTGTGGTTTTTTTTTCTTACCTGCCTGTCTGTTTGTATATTCATTGGCGGCTTTTCAATATAATTGACCATCGATGAAATCGACGGCCACTCATCAATGTTGGTGATGGTGGATATAGAGCTATTCGTTGATGACCCTCAAAAAAAATTGGCCGGTCATCATCATGATCACATGATGATGATGATGATGATGAACGGCGGACATGATGGCGACATGATCGATTTCAATTTCAAAAATCCAATATCACCTCTGTCTGGACCATCAAGGTATTATCATCATCATCATTTCTCACTAAGGCTAAAAAAAAAAAAAAATCCCATAATAATCTCAACAATTTGCATGTTCATGAGACCTAGACCAAATGCGTGTTTCTTTTTTTTTCCTTTGGATGTCAATCACAATCACACAAACCCAAATACAGAAAGAAAGAAAGAGGCCAAAAACAGGCTGTTTGTGTGTGTGTGTGTCACCATTAACAGCAGCAGCAGCAGCAGCTGAACTCGTAACTGAAATGTTTATCGAATTCAAAATCGAACACGAAAAAAAACGAAATCAATTTTGTCATCAAACCATGGTGCTGCAACAAAATTTGTTGTTGTTGTTGTTGTTATTGTCCAATCATTTCGAGTCAATTTCCAATGAAGAAAAAAAAAGAACGTACAATTTTTTGTTTGGTTGGTCAGTCAATTGAAATTGATTTTTTTCATCATCATCATCATCATCATCATTTCTCAAAATGTACAACCAATGTCCACCACCACCACTGTATATGATGATGATTGTATGGATATAATAATATGGATTGTGTATGTCATGTCTGAAACTTTTTTTTCTTCATTCTTTTTTTTTGTTGCATTTGTTGTTGAAAGGATCCGGCTTTGTATTACTTTACATTTTATGTATGAATCATTGATTGGTCAATCTTCGTGATCTTCATCAAAATCTAACCCCCACACCCCACACTCCATTTCCATATATATACATTTTACATTGAACAATGACAATGAATATGGCTATGATGATGAAATGATTGAATTTGATTACTAGGTTTGTGTACACACACACACACACACACACACACACACAAATCAACCAACCGACCAACACACACATATTTACAATGGTCAGCAATTGTCCGAAAAAAAGAAAAAATCAAAAAAAATTTTTTTTTCTTCGAAATGCAAAACATGATTTCTTTTTTTCGGTTTTTTTTTCTTGGTTTTTTCATTTTGTTTTCGTATCTCAAATCATTCGATTTGAAAACACGATCGATTTTTTTTCTCCATTTGAATCATTCAATTTGTGTGATTTGAATTTGAATTCAAAAAAAAATAGATTCACAATCAATCAATCGATAGTTGAATTAGAGTCTAATTGATTTTCAATTTTAAATATTCTTTGTATAGCTGCAAAATTCATTATCATTATCTTTGATCATTAGTGGTGGTGGTGGTACTGGTAGTAGTAAAAATCGATTTGATTAATCCATCCATCCATCCATTCATTGGCCAATTATAATCTCCATTTCATCATCATGAAAAGAGTTGACAAATCATTCTGAATGAATGAATGAATGAAATAGCTTTAAGCAAATTGTTTATGTTGTTGTTGTCGATTTGTTTGTGTAGTTTTCTATTTCTATTTTTTTTTTTTTCAATTTGTTTTGTTTGTCTGGTTGGTTGGTTGTTCATGTTATCATTATTTATTTATTATTATTATGATTATAATCATCAAATATCTATTGAAATAGAATACAACCATCATCATCATGATCATGATCATCATCATCTTGAATCAAAATTGAATTTGAATGATGAATAATGATTACTGCTATTATCACGTGAACAATAATATTATCAATGTCTATATAATATGGCCAATGGCTATAAATTCAAACAAAACAAAACAAAAAAAACAGCAGCATCAGCAGCAACAACATAAGAATTGAATAATAACAATACAGACACACACACACACAGTAGCTTGATGATGATGATCATTATTATTATGATTGTGACAAATGATCATCAATGAATGAATGAATGAATGAATGAATGATGATGAATGGCGCCCAAAATAACAGATGATCAAAAAACTCTTGAAATATCCAAGTCGCACCCAGATTATTTAGATGATGATGATGGTGATTTTTATATTTTTTTCCCTGTTCAGATCTTTAATTTTAAAATTGAATTTCAAAATACAAAAAAAGACACAGAACAAAAAAAAAACTTTCAATGAAATTCGATTCGTAAAAAAAAAAGGGATTCTGTGAATTA